AAAAAAAAACAAAAATCGGGACTGTCCTGCCAAAAGCTGGATGTCTGGTCACCTTATCCTAGGCACTGCTCCAAGCGTTTGATAGTTACTAACTGGGTTAACTCTCCCCACAACCTTAGGAAGTAGGTTCAAATAAAAACTCCGGAAGCCAAGGCCCAGAGAGATTAAACAATTTGCCTAAGGTCATGTGGCTAGTAAGAGGTCCCGCTGAAAGTGCAGTGGGGACAGTCTGGCTCCTGCATCTCCATGGTGAACTCTGACATTAAAGGGACCTCTTGGGAGTGGGGGTGGGGTGGCCATGCCTGAATTGTCTTCTTCCTGTGCCCTCAGTTGAGTCCTTGATAAGAAACAGCTCTGCTTTCTGCTACTTGGTTTTATTATGGACTGCGTGTCATCCTTCCTTAGTTTACATTCTGGTGGGTGGATATGTGTGTGTTTACATGATTACCCATCATCTGTGTGGATGCCCAGGACCTCCCAGGTAGTTCCCCTAACATGAATAGGAGCAGAGGTGTGAAGGCAGAGCCAGGGAATCCAGAAGTGCAAACACATCTGGAAAGTAACTTTCCCTGCTCACTCTCCCCACCCTCACCCCCACCCCCCTTCCCCACCCCCGGCCTCCTTGTCTTGCCTTCTAATCTGATCTCCGTGTTTCTGGAGATGCTAAACAGAGCCCCATGCCCTCAAGGAGGGAGCCTGGGAAGACCCCAAGGCCTGTTGATCTCATTACTCTGTGTCTTGTCAGCAGATCTGCCGCCCTGCTGCTCGTTCAGGCTTGGGGCTAATCATATTAATTGCAATATTAAACATTCACAAAAATGAATTATAATGAATGCCACCCGGCTCCTCCCAGTCAGTAATTGGAGAGACAGCTGCAGGCAGCAAGCAGCCTCCCATGCCTTGCTTCGTTCATGGGCCCCCATAAAAGGTTTCCATCTGGGCGGCAGGGAGGCAAGGTTTAGAGAAGAGGGGGAGGCCTCCTGAGGCACTCCTTGCTGGGTGACTGCACCAGACCTGGCTCTGGTGCTCTTCCAGCCAAGCCATGGAGGATGGGGGCAGGAGCACATCACTGCGAGGTGAGAGAAGGCTGGGAAAACAACCTGACGCTCTGAGGCCCAAGCTGGGGAGCTTCTCTCCAGGAGGAAAGGGGACTCTTACAAGCCCTCGTTCTTCCAACAGACTTTCTGTACCCGCTGCCTCCAAGCGTACCTTCCTTTGCATCCCTGTGCACCCCGAGCGGAGCAGCCCCGCATGAGGGAATATTGGCTTTAGGAAGGGAGAGCACTGCTCCTGGAACGGGCACTGTGGAATAATCGGGTATATTTTTCACAACAGGCAAAGTGTGGTGGTGACGTGTGTGGACGGAGAAGGTGGCCATCAGAGAGCCTCTGAGAGTCTACACAGAAGAGATCACCTCCCTGTCATCCAGGGGCTGACACCGCCATGGCAGTCAGACCAAACCCAAAGCCAACTCGGGCCGTGGAGTGGATGCCGACTCCCAGCTGCCCTGCAGGACAGAGCAGGACTGTGCCTGCGGGTTTCCAAGCCGGCCACTCGATGGGAGCAGAAGGCCTCATCTTTCTCCCCAGAAGCAGCTGGTGGTTTGGAACTGCTGACCTTGTGGCTAGCAGCCCAATGAATAACCCACTATGCCACCAGGGTTCCTCTGGCAAGGTCAGACAGGCCAACAAAACAAGCAGGAACAAACACCAAGATATAGTTAAGAAAATGAAAGTCAACCCTCTGTCTGCCTGCCTGTCTGTCTGTCTGTCACACACACACACACACACACACACACACACACACACACACACACACATGAATTTGAGCCAGGGGATGGTCATCTGTCAAGCAAGGCCTGATTCTCAAAGCACAAGAAGAAAATAGAATCACAGAAGGAGGATGTAAATTATTTCATGCGTGAGGTGGGGTGGGGAGGGATGGAAATAGTATATACTCGAGGATAAGCCGACCCGAATATCCGCCGAGGCACCTAATTTTACCACAAAAACTGCGTTTAAAATGTGCTGGAAAAACTCGGCTTATACTCAAGCATGTGTGGCAATTGTGTGTGAATAAATAATCGTGTGTGTGTGTATGTGTGTGTGTGTGTGTGTGTGTGTGGTGCGGAGGAGGTGGTGGTGGAAGATGGGGCTTGCTAGTCCAGACCAGCACTAACAGAAATATAGTGTGAACCAGGCAAACTATTTTAAAACTATAGCCCTTTAAAAAATTTAAAAGACACAAGCAAAATTAATCTTCATGGTATATTTATTTAACCTGAGAGATGCTACCTGGATCAATATATGAGGAGCGGTAAAAAGAAGTAGAGCTGCCCAGGTCCCAGTTCATCCATACACAGGTTGGTCCCCACAAAGCATGCTCAGACATGTCCCTGTGCTTCCTGCGTGGCTGTGACAAGCTGTCTCAGTCATGCACGTGTCTCAGCTTCGCTGTGGAACTGCTGACAGATGCAGTCCAGTCCAAACAGTGGCTGCCAAGGGGCCTTGCTAGACCAGTTCAATTCAAGGCAGAGCGGTCAGCTCAGAAGGTGATGGGGACTGTTTGGGGAATCCCAAAGGGCTCCTCTTGATAGATTCTCTTGAAG